GCACTGCGCCCCCGCCCCCTCGCTCCTCCCTGCTCTACTCCGCTTGCCCACCGCCTTGGCGCCACCTGGTGGCCAGCCCCGCCCCAAGCCCTGCCCCGACCCCGGCCGCGAGCTCGGCGCACACCTATTCGGGCGGTCCACTTCCCCGGGAGCCGCGGCCTCGCTTGGCTGCGCTCGGGCAGCTACCCCGCCGCCCCCGCCGCCCCCGTGTGCCCAGCCTTGAGCCTGGAGCGGTCGCGAGCAGTAGACGGAACGGGTTGATCGGGTGGGGCCCGGTAGTTTGCGGCGCGGAGCGAGCTTCTCTGAGCGCTTCCAGTTTCTCAGCTCAGCCTGCAGCTCCCGCGGCGTCCCGCTCCTCCCTAGGCCGAGGCCGGGTCCTGGGGCCCCGCGCCGGGCTCGAGGACAGGACTCGGTGTGGGACTCGGATACCTCTGTACAGGGCTGAGTGATTAAACTCGGTTTGTCTGCCTCTAGGCGCATAACCGCCCGCCGCCGCCACGTTCCCACCTATTCGAAAGCGCCGTCAGCAGCCAGCGCTGGACCAGTCGGTTTTCCTCACCTGGCCGAACTCACCCTCCTGACACGCCCACCGGTGCTGGGTAGACAGATGCCTTCGTTTCTTCTGTGACTGTAACAGTTGATGTAGTTGCTTCCATGTTGGAACGTGTTATTCCAGGCATTCTGTATTCCCCAACCACGGATTTGGCTAAAAATAAACTCTTACTCGCTTTGGGGTGAGAGCTGTTTTGCGTTTGCAGGGTCTCCATCTGTGACCGTGTGGACACATACCCAAAGGTGTAATCAGTTGTACCTTCCAGTGTAGTCCAGAGACTTAGCAAGGGTGGCCCTAGACTCCGGAGGGGGTCATTCTAGAGAGAAGAACGGAGCTCTTTGTGTCCAGGGAACTGAGAAGTTGGATGCCAGGACTAAGTGAATGTAGGGTGGAGATGACGAGCGATAGGACTGTAGAAAGGGCTGGATATTAGACTGCCTAGCCCCAGCATGGCAAGGCATGTGGACGTGATCCGCCGAACAGTGGTGAGCCATGTTAGGTTAATAAGGAAGTAACATGATCACATTTGCATTTTGGAGAGCTGGTTCCAGCCTTAGTGGAGGCTGGAACAGAGATGAGAGATTAGAGAAAGTGGGCTCAGAGCCAAAAATGAAGTTTGAAAATATTCCCACACTCACACAATTTTAAAATGTACACTTAAAAACATAAAATGCACACTTTAAGAAACACACAATTAAAAATGCACACTTAAGAAAAAACCACACTGCTAAACTGCTCAAATTGCATCTGGGGTCACTGATAAGTTTGGCCAGGAAATACAACATGGGACCATGGGAAGTCACTAGATGAACTGAAGGTTCAGTGTTCTCCCAATAAAGATTAAAACTTCTTGCCTTACTTGAAAAAGGGTGTAGAGAATGAAAACATACATTTGTTCACTCAATAAACGTTTACTGAATATTGTCTACATGCCAGACAGGGGCTCAGATGCACAGAATTCAGAAATAAAGAAATGCACTGCCCTGAAAAGGACACAGGCCGGTAAAAACAGAATACTACATCTAATACAACTTAACAATTCTTAGAGAAATGAAGACCAGCAGAAACGAGAAAAGAATTGACAAGATGGAAAATAGCTCTTGGGAAAAGTTGAAGGATCGAATACCATCTAGATAGAGTAAGAGAGTACTCAGAGGAAGATTGGTTCTAAAAGGTGCTCCTAAAGCTGATCGTGGTGGCTCACCCGCAATCCTAGCACACCAAAGGCAGAGGCCACCCTAATCTAGGTAGTTCCAGGAAAGACTGGGCTACAGAGAGAGACTCTTTTTTAAGTTTCTATTGCAATTTTCCCCCAAACAAAAACCACTTGTAGGAAAAATGAAGAATAGACCCCTTGAGCCAGACTGCTAAATGCCAGAACAGCATCAGGAGGTCACACAGTTTTCATTATCAGCTGTCACTGGAAAAAGTTCACAGAGTAAATCCATCATGTTCTGGGTATCAGGATTTGGGACCATGCCATATTTTAAAATCCTTTTTAATACTGTATTTACAAAAGAAGTTCTGTTGAAAAAAAATGCATAAGGCATTCTAAAATAGAAATGTTTACATTACCTGCACACCATCTCCTAGTTACCAGGGAAGATGAGGCATTCTGTGCACGCTGATATCCCCTCCAGCCATTTCAAGGATTCTCACACTGCATTTTCTATTCCTAAATTGATTTTTGTTACTGAAAATGATTTTACCCGTTTTGATGTTGATAGTTCATTTATTGTGTACAGGTATTCCTTTATCTCCACAACCAGTCTCTTTTAATTCTCCAGTATCAGGCTGGGTATGTCCAAATTTTCATGTTTAGCTTCTTTAATCCTTTCAAAAAACAAATATAAGTGAAGGAAATGAAATTAAGATCAAATGCATTCAGAGCGGTGTGGCTGTAGGGCAGTATACAAAATTGAATAAAATACCAGTACTTGCTGGCGTTTTTCTAAAATTAGAGAGATAGAGGAGCTCTCTAGGAGGTAGAGAATTCTGACTCAGGATTAAACCAAATTTTAAGGTTCTTATATCTTAAAAATTATGGGGCAGGAGAGATGGCTCAGAGGTTAAGACTATGTACTGCTTTTGCAGAGAACCCGAGTTCAGTTCCCAGCATCCAAGTTGGTTGTCTCACAATTACCTGTACCTCCATCTCCAGGGGATCTGATGCCCTCTTCTGGTCTCCAAGGGAACTTGTAGTCGCACACACATTCCCGCAGTCAAAACACATCATTAAAAAATTGACCTTTTCTGTAGCTTCTGTTAGATGTTGTGTCTCTTCTCTTTTCTCCCCCCTTCCCTCCCTCTTCCTCCCTCTCTCTCCATCCTTCATTTCCTTAAGTAATTCAAGTATATATGGAGTCCTGTTCAGAGTTTCCTTACCAATTCTACTTCTGAGTTCTTAATTCAAAAGAAAAGCCAAATAGTTATCCTACAAGACAGATGTTAAAGTCTATGTTTTGGAGAAAAATCAAAATTGTGTTTATATAACCGATACTTTATAACAGTCTATGCATAATGTAATTCTATAAATTCCCACAAAGTAAAACATGTTATTTAATTCTCTTAAACAAAATACATGTCTATACTCCCAGCACATGGGAGACCAAGGCAGAAAGCTCTTGATCCAAGACCAGCCTGGGCTACAGAGCAAGACCCCCATCTCAAAAAAAAAATAAATAAATCATAAAAAGCAAAGAACCGTGTTCCAGAGAGTTTCATTAACCATATACATAGTTTATAGTGATGATCCATTATTGGAACAGAAATCTCTGAAATTCCAAAATGTGTATTTTTCCCATTATGCCATATTTCACTACAGATAAATGCTGTATCTAGTGATACCCATTAGACATGAAAGCAGACAGAAAATTGGTTAAATGTAAATTTAACCTCACAGACTGCTGTTGGGAATTCAAATTTTATTAGAGAAATACAACTCTTGATTAGAGCACAAAGAATCAGAAACTCAGAAAAAAGTGACTTTTTTCTCATATCTAGTTGGCTTATAATGAATTTCTCCAGTTTTCAGTCTAACTCCTAAAGACCTCAGTGGACTGGAGGAAGACGTGGAAAATAATACTATTATTGTGAGTAAAAAGTATTCCATTTTGACTGTTCAGCAAATGAGGGCGAAGAGTAGAGTCAGGAGATGGAGGAAAGTGACTTCATTCTCAAAATCCTCAGCCATGGGTGACAAGAGCAGAAAGAGGCCATGGGAACCCACTGAAAGGGAACACCTAACGCTCCACATGGCCTGAGAAGTGCAGCTTCGCTTTTCAGCGATCAGGATTGGGGGTGGGGGGCAGGTGAGGAAGGGAATGGGGACGACCCTGTGGATCCTCACGTCTCCCTGGTTCAGTCTTCGGGAACCTTCCATTCATAGTCTCATTCTAGATTCACAGTTGGGGAGAAAAGTGCTAGGGGTCAAGCTGAAGGCCTTGTGCATGTTAGGACGAATGTGCTACCACTGAGAGAGCCTCCCAGCCTACTAATATACTGTGTAAGAAATTTTAAGTAACCGTGTACAAAATCTGTCATCAATCAAGGCTCATATTTACAATATTAACAACCAAGTAAGCATCTTCTAACCAAGATACTGAAAAACTGAAGTCGTGGTGCTACCACTTCCCAAGCCCGGTGCTGAGCCAAAAACAATTCAGGATTGTTCTCACCCCGTCTATTTCTTTCTTCCTTTGATTTTTTGAAATGGTCTCTGTAGCTCAGGCAGCAATCCTCCTGTCCAAGCGTCCCACATGCTGGGGTTACAGGTGTGCTTCAAAGCCCGTTCACCTCCTATTTCTTGCTATATAGACATTACATCATTAGGCACGCTCAGGTTTGGTTGCCTTTATTCTTACATTTATTTTAGTAAGAGAGAAAAGAGATTCTTAGCTGTGTTGGTGCAGGTAGTGCTCCCAGCCAGCATTTGAGAAGCAGAAACAGGAGGATTAAACGTTGGGATGAGCCTGGGCTTCACAGCAAGACCCTGTCTCCAAACAAGATATAACAATAAAAGTGCAAGTGTGCCCAGACAATCTTGTTCTATGCCAGAAACACAGGCCTCTGTGTTTTCTATTACACCCCTGAACTTTCAGCTTTTAATCTAAAAACTCACTCTACTTCCATTGTGAAGGCAGACTATTTTGTTCGTCAAGTTCTCTTCTCCCGAGATAGCTTCACAGTGCCCCAGAACTTTCCATTCTTGCTGGCCCAAAGTAAACACTGAACCATTTCATTGTTGCTATAATTGCAAATTAAAAGGGGATAATGAAAATGACAATGATTCAACCTCAGGAACTCATCAGGGAAAACAACCATTGCACTGATCTTTGCCCCCCAAATTTCCCTTTGGCTTATCTTCACACCTTGAAACAAAACAACTTAGAAAAAAATTAATAGTGCCAGGTATGGTGACACACACCTTTACTCCCAGCACTTGGGAGACAGAGGCAGGAAGATTGTGAGTTCAAGGCCAGCCTGGTCTACATAGTAAGTTCCAGGCCAGCTGGGGCTACAGGGGGGGAATAAAAAGGTAAATAAAATAAATACTAGTATTAAGTCCTATTTTCCCAAGTTGAGGCAAAAGAACAAAAGAAAAAACATAAAATCAAAATCTGGAAAAATACAGATTCAAAACCAAGACTAAGTTAAAATATAGGAAGCTATTGATTACTATATAATTTATTTTTAAAAAACATTTTATTTATATTTTTATGTGTATGTATGTATTGCCTGAATGTAGGTAAGTGCACCTGTGTCATGCAATGCCAACGGAGGACAGACTAGACTGTCAGATGCCCTGGAACTGGAGTTACAGTTGTTAGCTGCTATGTAGGTGCTGGGATTCGAACCCAGATCTTCTACAAGAACAGTCAGTGTTCTTAACCGCTGAGCCATCTCTCCAGCCTCGATATTCAGTCCCTATATTCAGTTTTTGCTGTAGTCGTGAGAAATTTCAGATAAAATTGATTTAATAAATTTTACAGTAATCGGGGCTGGAGAGATAGCTCAGATATTAAAAGCACTTGGTTCCCAGCACTCACATGGTGGCTAACCACCACCTGTTAACTCCAGTTGCAGGGGACCAGATGCCCTCTTCTGGCCTCCACAGGAACTATATGCATCATGTGGTGCACTTACATACAAAAAGACAAAACATTTATGCACATAAAATAAAAATTTTAAAACCAGAATAATCAGCTGGTGGCACATGCCTTTAATCCCAGCACTTGGAAGGCAGAGGCAGGCAGATCTCTATGAGTTTGAGGCCAGCCTGGTGTACATGGTGAGTGCCAGGCTGGCTGGGGCTAAGGGAGACCTGTCTCAAAGACAAAAAAACAAAAAAAAAACCCTAAAATACAAAAAAAATAACCAAACAAAAAGACAGAATATTCAATTAAGGAAAGGGCAAATTGGTTTCTCAGATGAAGCAAAATTTGCTGAAATGAATTGAGTAAAATGTCTCATTTGGACAGTGATGCAGAATCTTTCTTCAATTATCTTTACAAAAAAGAAACAGCAGACCTCAGTCTGCTGTGCCTTGGCCAGGACAGCTGGTGCTACAAGGAGACCCTGTCTCAAAAAGACAAAAAAAAAAAAAAAAAATAGGAGAAAATGATGAGTTATCTCAAATCACAGGGCTTAAAATGTTAAAGTTTTAGCCAGGTGTGGTGGCACACGCCTTTAATCCCAGCACTTGAGAGGCAGAGGCAGGTTGATCTCTGTGAGTTCAAGGCCAGCCTGGTCTACATAGTGAGTTCCAGGACAGCTGGGACTACAGGGAAAAGTCTCAAAAAGACAAAAAAAAGCTAAAGTTTTGAAAATGAAAATTGGATAATAAATCACAGCTGGATGAAACTGGTCATTCAACAAGCCACATACACCACAATCAGGAACAACATTCAGGTGCAGACTTGCAGAAGCTGAAGACCGAGGTGACTTTTCCCAAAAGAAGATGGTGGCAGTCCCTCCTCGGCTGCTTCTGTACTTTGTGTTTTTAATGTTGCAGAATGACATATCTATAGATCTCTAAAATGTGAGTCCCACATCTTTAGCCTCTTTGTAACCAACCCTTAATACAGTGCCTAAAAGTCAAGAATACCCAATAAATATCCACTGAAGGAAATAATACTGATGTAAAGAAAACCTACATCAGGAGAATACTGAAAATGCTGAGCAGTAAGCTGTGGTCCGTAAAAAGATGCAGAATGTGGGGCTGGGGAGACAGCGCAGTTGGTAAAGTGCTCGCACTGAAAAAATGAGGGCAAGTTTGATTCCCCAGAATCCACACAGAATAAACAAAGGCTTGGTGATTCACACTTGTAACCCCAGCGCTGGGCAGTGGAGAGGGCAGATCCCTGGGGCTCACTGACCAGCCAGCCTAGGCTAGTTGGTGATTCCAGGCCAGTGAAAGACTTTTATTCCTCAAAGCAAGCAAAAAACGTCCAAAACACACTGACACCTTCCAGCACTCTAGTTGATTTTTCCATTGACATATTTGGTCTTTTATCACAGTATTTCATAAGGCCCAAAACTGGCCTAGCTACACACACAACCTAATAGAACACTAAATCCATAGCTTTTAAATGAAAATCTCTATTATAGCTTAAAGTGAACGGACTTGATGAAAACCATTCTAATCATTAAACATACTGCTGCCCTACTTAATGCTTGACATGTATTTAGGAGGCTGCTTGTAATTGAGGTCTAATGAATTACCATAATATGCCATTAAAATGTCTCCAATCCTGGCCATGCTGTGAGCCGTTTCCTCCCTAGGAACTCTCCTCTATCCAGGGCCATCCTAATCACCCTGACAGTGTTTCTGTGGCCTCTTTACACTTTCTTCTTTCCTTGATTTCCCCCATTCCTACCTTTCCTTACCTCTAATGTAAGCAAGACCTGTTCTTCATCACCTGGCAGGTGAAAACCTTTTCTTCTGCTTTTGAGCTGCTCCATCACACCCTGTGTTCTCTGCACCCTTCACGCTCCTGGTTGCCCTCAACTGTTTCTGTCACTGAAGACTTTCTGGTATTTCTTTAACGTTTATTCCACACTCATTCTCCTGGGGTGAACGGGAGGGTTAAGCACTAAGCAGCCAAAGCCCTCTACTACTACCCTCCACACATGTGCACACGCATGCTTCCACTTCATTTTCAAAGTACAGAGCAAAGATTTCCTTTCTTTTAGTGGTTCCTACATCAGGTCCTTATAAAGATTCCAGAAAAGAGGTAAGTTGCTAACTAAAAAACAGAGATGAGCTTCGGTGGAAATTCAAAGCATTTTACATTAACGTATATAGTATACCAAAACTACGTTCTTTTAGGCAGACAAGATTTATATCTGAAAGTTTATGTATGTGCTATCTACTTAGGGTGTTTTCTTCCTTTTATTAATATACTTCATCTTGTCTATTATCACTATAATTTTAAGAAAGCATATGATAAAAAATAAAACCTTTAAACTATTAAGTTACCAATGTCTAAGAGTACATATTCTTATGTGCCTCAAAGTATACCTTAATCTTTACTTCTAAGTAAGGTAATAAACTCTAAAAAACATTCAAATTCTTTTTGCATGGAATTTGGCTACAACAACCCACAATCCACTGCTAAAACCATATTGTAAAACCATATTCACAAAACAGAGTTTAAAATGTAACTTAAGCCCTAGCTCTGAATAATTTTTTGCATATTTTAACATTAGGTCAAGTATTAACTCTGCATGTCTTCCTAGTGTGAAAGTATTTTTGAGGTAGAGTGAAATGAAGGTAGGTGAAGATCACTGTAATTAATGAACTAAAAACAAAACACACAAGGCTACTTAGTTCATTTTTCCATCTCATGGTGTGTACTACCATTATGATAATAAAGGCTCACATGAGGTAATTTTAAGACTCACATGGATTGACTCTCAGTCCTCTGAAGAACCATGTGAATTCTACATGGCCATCATTATCTCTGCTACAGAAGTGAGCTTGAGAAATTTACTCAAGTTTGAGTCCTGCAATAGAGACGCAAACCTGAGTCATCAGCATTCCTAATCTCCATGCCATGGTGCCTTCCACCAATACAGAAAGATGAGTGTGGCCAATTCAAGTAAAATCCCGTCATCTCTCAAGTTTTTCTTTCTTCCAGAGAAATTTGAAGCATATGAAAGCATATAATCATTGTAAGATATAATGCCTTAAAGACTACCTTTGCCTTAGGAAATAGAATATTTCCCTATTAGATTATTTTAAGTGCTATCCCAAAAATGAATACACAAAAGATTTAAACATTAACAACAGAAGAAAAAAATACCATGCTTCAAAAGAACAGTTAGTTGGCACTCCATCAGAAGTGTCTTATAATAAACACAAATTTTAATTTTTCATTTAACAACACTAAAGAATGAGGTATATGAATGTTTTCATCACAGACTTTTACTGTATGCAATTAACTGTATTTCACAACTAGCATGTTACAAAAGACAGTACCATTGTGCCAATAAAAAGTACTGAAACAGAAAATTACATTATCACGAGAAACCACCAAATATCACAACTGTCAGGGTCTACAGTTTTATTTTTCCTCAAATGTTAGCATGATGTCTTTTATGTGTTAGTTTATTATCCAAGTTATATACTGTCTTTAAGTTGCTTTACATTTCAGAAGTCTTCTACATATATTAAGCAAATGGCTAGAGAAAGCAAGCAAACCCTAGGAAGATTTAAGAAGTGTCATGTGGTTTCTATGATAGATTTTCAAATACAACATAACACACTTTAGTTGTAAACAAAAATGCAAAATCTGTAGTCATAAAAAATATTTTATTGGTAATTGTACATAAGTGAGACTGTAAATACTTTTTATTTCATGATATTAATAAATGCATAAATTGAAAGTTGTGTTTGGAAATGTGGTACTATGATTTTCAAAAGAATTGTTATATTTAGTAAGAAGCCAATTAAATTGACATAAGATTAGTTATTTCCCAGTTCTGTGCAATAGTTACCATGTGTCTACTAATTAGATTCATATGTCTATGACCCTGGATAGGTTTGGAACAAGGAAACAGTGATAAAACTATCATTAAGTTAAAGCTTTTCAAAAATTGTAGCTTTTAAAATATGGCAAGTTCTTTTCTGTTTCTGCCAAATGCTTATAATTCTTTCATTTTAAAGTTTTATATAATACAGGAAATACCAGTGTTCAATGACAATAGCACTAAACCTGAATTAGAAAGCTAAATAATCAATGTTTTATTGTTTACTAGTCTGCTAGTAAACATTACAATAAATGAATGCTTTGAAAAATAAGCAAACTATCAAATAAAAAACTGCAAAAAAATGGATAAAACACAAGTCAGAAACAATAATTTAGTAAAACATGTCAAAAACAATGGCAAAGGTTCATACAAATTCTTTATTTAATAACAACTTTCCTATTTAATCACACCAAGTACCAGCAGGTGTATTTAAGAAGATAACCATTAAGAAAATCCTGTTGCAGCAATAGTTGATTAAGTTGATCTTTGACTTGCATACATATAACTATTTGTTTCACAATTCTCAAATAATACATATTTAGGCAGCTTGCACTATTTAATAAAAAATTTAAACTCGTTACATGCCAATAGTAGAGAATTCAATAGTTACGTGTTAGAATTCACTAAACTAAAAGTGAAAATAGACTTACCAATAACACTGCATAACGAGTAATTCAACCACATTTTCATGGCACTTAACTGGAAAGACCAAAATGTTAAGTATGGAAACATTTGGTAAGCACAGATTGCAATAAAATCTAATAAATCCTAGTAAACTTTTATGTAAAATTCAAATTATGGATTATGTATGAATGTGTCATGAAAATGTGGTACTTCTTGGCATAATCTGTATTTCCATGGTAGGACAGACGTGACTAAGAAACTGGAGAAAATAATCTTTAATGAGACTCTCCATTCAGTGATGAGGCTTCTCCTCGGGGGGAAGACGACCTGGACATTCCCCTCTCTGTGTTGTCGGAGCTGGAGCTGCTCTGACTGTGCTGATCTGCAGAAGCAGCACTAGATGCGGGCGGTGACTTGGTTTTCTCCTTAAAGTCTGTGATAATGACTGTTAGATCTCCAACGGTAACTTCCAAATGCTGAGCACTACTCCGATCCACATTTTTTAATCTTGGCCTAAACACACACAAAAAAAAGGATGAATTTTTAAACTAGCTTCTCTCTACTCAATTTCGGACCACATACAAAATAATCAGCAAGGGTAACAAAATAAATATTGCTTTCCTGAACTTCGAATAGCGACTTTTTTTTTTAATGGTGAAAAGAAAACAGACATGTCTTTTAAACCCCTACTAAAAAAGAAAACAGAATCCTCACATTTAAGCTTATATTTGTGATCTTTTCTATTTCCAATATGCCTTTCAAACTCAGGAAATTTTCATCATACTTCATATCAAAGGAAATACAAAGTATACTTGCACTCTGTGTATAGGAGTACAATAAAAGTTTAGAAGAATATTAAATGGTTTATTATTTCAAAACCATCACAAACACTCTTCAGATTTACCTGGTTTTCTTGTGACAGCTTTTTTTGCTAGTTGTTTCCTTTTCACTTTTTTCTTTTTCTACTTTATCTTTTTTCTCTTTCTTTGACTGGGCAGGGGGCACGAACTGCTGAGTAACCTGCTGTGCCACCAACTGGGAGACAGGTCGAGGTTTCCTGTGTGCACGTTAAAAAGAAAGGTTTTAATTATAATCTAAAGTTATGTTTTATGACAGAATATCTGCTATAAGAATAGATATACTTTATGATAAGCATAAAATTCCTCATAAGTAAAATATAATCATTTCTGTTCAAAAAGAACTACCATAGCAGTTAAAATTCAAATTCCAAGATCTATGGCCAAACTGCTAGAATGTAACTCTGCATAAAGTAACATGCGACATTATTTAAAATGTACATCCAAGAAAATAGGGAGGCACACATGTAAGTAAACATGGATTTAAATTTTTTAACATTGACATTTACACTGAAATAGTATTCTGGCTGGGCGTGGTGGCACACGCCTTTAATCCCAACACTAAGGAGGCAGACACACGTGGATATCTGTGAGTTCAAGGCTAGCCTGGTCTATATAGTGAGTTCTAGGACAGCTACCGCTACAGGGAGACCCTGCTCCACTCCCAAAAAGAAAAGAGAAGGGAGGAGGAGGAGGACAGGAGGGGAGGGTTACAGTTACGGTTAAGGGGAGGGGAGGGGAGGGGAAAATATCTTCTTCAATACTGCTTTTCCTATAACAGACTATATGTGACTTTTTTTCCTAAAGTCAATGACTCAAAAGCTGAAATCAAAACCACCTTTCCTAAAATAAGCAATAAACAGTGAGCTTAGTTTGTTGATCTGCACTGCTTTAGAAAAGCCTCTATCTTTATTTGCTCTCTAAATAAATCAGCCGTGTGTGTGTGTGTGTGTGTGTGTGTGTGTGTGTGTGTGTGTATCTTTTTGAGACAGGGTCTCCTTGTAGTTCCAGCTGTCCTGGAACTCACTATGTAGACCAGGCTGGCCTCGAACTCACAAAGATCCGCCTCTGCCTCCCAAGTGCTGGGATTAAAGGAGTGCACCACCATGCCCGGCTTGATTTAGGCATTTTAAAGGTAGTTTATTAAGCACCCACTACAGGACTTAAGTGTGCCTTCCATGTTGTCTGACTTTGCCTTTAGGCACCAGCATGAGCAACTAACCTCATCAGCCCAGTCAAGGACCACCCGCCCCCCGACCAGCTTTATGACAGAACATGGGTAAGTGGAGGTTAAGATTCAGAGAACAGTCTCTAAGTTCCCAAGAGAACAAAAAGTAAAGAGGGAGAAGGCAGGGAAGGGAGAAATATAGGTTAAGATAAAAATATATTTTAACAGATGATTTATAAACGGTGGTAACTTTATTGCCTAGAAAATCCTATCCTATTTTGGAAAGAGGGTTTTTTTATTTGTTTGGTTTTTATCTTTGATGTTGTTTCTCCACTATAGCAGGAAAACAGGAAGTAATGAGAAAATACTGCTAATCAAACTTTCAAAGCTGCAAGGCTAGCAGGAAATAAGGAAGTAGTATGTAAAACAAATCTCAGGAGAGGGATGCCAGCTTTGCTTAGAGCCTGTTTAGTGTGAAGTACTGGAAAGATAACTCTAGGACAGACATTCAATACATAATTTTAAAAACAGGACTGTCAGAACTCAGTGTTATACCTCTAGACCAAAGTTGCACACACAGAGGCTAAGGAGATGGCTCTGTGAATAAAGTGCTTGCTAAGCACCTGAGTTTGGATCCCCAGCACCCATGTAAAGGCTGGTCATGGCTCCAAGTGCGCCTTTAACCCCAGTGCTGGTGAGGGTCTCAAGGGAATAAGGTGAATATTGATCAAGGAAGTCACCGAACATCCTCCATGGATAGGCATGCACACTTGCATACACACACAAGCACACAGCACACACACAAATGGAATTCCACAAGTAAAAGTGACAGTAAAGGTCCTGTAGCTAATGGTCAGACCTGTTAAGGAAGAACGAACTCGACAAAGAAAAGGGTTAATTTAAGGTAGTGGTTCACACAATGAAGGAACAGCACAATCTCCAGGAAGTCTTCTTCAGCTTGCCACGTCCTACCTCCAGAGTTTCTACTTCAGCAAATTTTAAGATGGAGCGCAAGAATTTGTATTTCTGGGTAGTTTCCAAATAATGCTAATTATCTGCTGCTGGGAAGAAGCTGGAAGAACCCTGTCACTGCTGTAGCACCAAATCTGCGGCAGAGCACAGCAGAGAATGAGAAAGAAAGGCTGGGCAGGTGGAAGCACACCACACAGGGAACGTGACTCACTCTTACTGACAGGAAGTCACTGAAGAGATTAAAACTTAGAACAGTGCAAAAAAGTATTGACACCAGTTTGAAACAGAAAGCTTCCTTCCACAAAGCAGGGAAACTAGAAGCTACTTGAAAACAGCAAACAGAAATACAAAAATATATTCTCTTTCAAACGCCTGAAATGAAGCAGCAGCAATGAACTCTCTGAAGAGCAAAAGCAAGTGTACACAGTGACCGATTAGCTGTGCCCTCGTCACTTCCAAGAACTACTCAAGCAAGATATAAAAATCCCTGACTGCATGTAGCCAACATTCTGTGGGTACTATGGTATGAACATCCATGTCACCTCAGATTCTTATATTGAAACCTAATCCCAATGTGGTTAGAATCAGAAGTATGAAGGGGATTAGGTCCCGAGGCCAGAGTCCTTATAAGCAATACTCGTGCCCTTACAAATGCTCCAGAGAGCCATTTTGGGCCTTCCACCACATGAAGACACCGCAAAGGCAGCATCTATGAGCCAGAAAGTACCCTCAGCAGACACTGACTCCACTAGCACCTTAACCTTGAACTTCCCAAACTCCAAAATTGTGAGAAATCAATTCTATTGTTCATAAGGTACCCAACCTAAAATATTCTTCCTTCCCTTTCTTTCCCTTCCCTTTCCTCTCCTTTTTCACTTTTAATTATGTGTATCACATGTATGGGTATGTGCACCTGAGTGAATGCAGATGCCCTTGGGGACTAGAAGCATTGCATCCCCCTGGGGCTGGAGTTACAGTCAGTTGTGAGCCTCCTGATGTGGCTGTTGGGAAGAATCAAACTCAGATCCTTCTCTTGTGAGCAGTCCATGCTTTAACTGCTGAGCCATCTCTCAGTCTCCAGCCAGTGTTATTTTGTTATAACAACTGAAAGAGTAGAATCAAGAAAAATTAAAAAAATAAATACAGAATCTTAGATATTGGTAAGTGCTAAGTAGAAAATTTAAGAACTATAGTGAGTGATGGGCTGTTTCCTCTTTTAAACTATAAACAATACAAGGAAAGGGAAGTATTGGCTTTAACCATCACTGTAACTACTAGACCACTGAACATACTAGATACCACTGGAGTACTAGACCACTGAACATATTAGATACCACTAGAGTACTAGACCACTGAACATACTAGATACCACTGGAGTACTAGACCACTGAACGTACTAGATACCACTGGAGTACTAGACCACTGAACATGCTAGATACCACGGGAGTACTAGACCATTGAACGTACTAGATACCGCTGGAGTACTAGACCACTGAACATGCTAGATACCACTGGAGTACTAGACCACTGAACATACTAGACACCACTGGAGTACTAGACCACTGAACATACTAGATACCACTAGAGTACTAGACCACTGAACATGCTACATACCACTAGAGTACTAGACCACTGAACATGCTACATACCACTAGAGTACTAGACCACTGAACATGCCAGATACCACTGGAGTACTACAGCACTGAACATACTAGATACCACTGGAGTACTAGACCACTGAACATACTAGACAACACTAGAGTACTAGACCACTGAACATGCTAGATACCACTAGAGTACTAGAACACTGAACATACTAGACACCACTGGAGTACTAGACCACAGAACATATTAGACACCACTGGAGTACTAGACCACTGAACATGCTAGATACCACTGGAGTATTAGACTACTGAACATACTAGATACCACTGGAGTACTAGACCACTGAACATACTAGATACACACACTGAAAATATACTAGATACAGAACAAATGAATGTTAAAAATGACTGAACAATATATTTTAAGTGTGTGCTGGATAGCTTTAGTGTCAACTTGACACACCTGGGTTGAGGGAGCCTCAGTTGGGGAATTGCCTCTACTGGACTGGCCTGTGGCCATGTCTGAAGGGCATCTTCTTGATGAGTGATGTGGGAGGGCCCAGCCCACTGTGGGTGGTGCCACCCCTGGGCAGGTGGGCCTGTGTTGCATAAGAAAGCAGGCTGAGCAGGGGCCAGGGGAGCAAGCCTGTAAGCAGCGTTCCTCCATGGTCTGTGCTCCAGCTCCTGCCTCCAGGTTCCTGCCCTGAGTTCCTACCTTGGGCTCCCTGATGAACTGCGACCTGGGAGATGTAAGACAAATAAACCCTTTCCTCCCCAAGTTGGTACTGGTCAGAGTGTTTTGTCACAGCAATAGAGAACAAACTAAGACAAAGTGACACAGTAATGTGGTACACTGAGACACCTGATTACATAGATACAATATGTAATTATCATATCAATGAACTGACATAGCTATCATCTTAGACATGTATCATTAAGAAAAGACATACTGCCTCTAAGTTTACTGACCAGGACCAAGTTCTTGCTACACAGAAGAAGCACTGTAAAAGTAAGAGCAACAAGATTTTCATTTCTTTTTCAGTTATGCTGAAATCTGGACAGAGAAAGTTCCAGGCCAGCCTAGGCTACATAGTGACTTCCAGGCCAGCCTGGGCTACATAGTGAGTTCCAGGTATGGCAAGGTTGAGAAAATATTTCTTTAGGTTAGTGACTAGTGAATAGTGAGCCACTTAAAACTGGGTTCAGTTGTTGTCATTCTGTCTTGTGGGGTACTAGGGATCTGAGTCCATAATATTATGAATGTGTCATCTTCATGCACTGTGCACTGTCTTTCCTAAATGCACACTACACAATATTCCATTCCTTTGTTCCTTTTCCAGTGATAAAGGTAACATTTCATTTAAAGGTTATGACTTTATTCAACATTTCTAGGATTATGTAATCTGATTCAACTTTGAATGAAAAGGTGGTGGGGGGTGAGCTTAACTATTCAAGT